GGCAGGACCCTGGTCATGTCTATGCAGGCACCAGCCTGTAAATGCACAGATGTCAATGCCCCGTGCAGGATTCCTGGCTGACAGCTACAGCCCTTGCACTGCAAGGGAAATCAGAACAGGATAAAATAGAATATTTCAGCTGCAAGGGGTCTGCAGGGATCATCTAGTCCCACTGCATTTTGAAAAATTCAGTTTGTTGTTCAGATGCAAAGCATCTCAGGGTTGCTGAAAGTTCACCACTCCTGGGGGCTCCTGCCAGTGCCAAAGATTTCTCACACCAAGCTTTTTGTTAGCACAGATTTCACTGCATGGGTGAGACAGAGGGTTGTCACTTAGGAGGGTTGTCACTCACTATTTCCAGCTACCTAAATCTTGGCTTGAATTTACTTATATTACCCTGACTAAAATCATCCTACCAGTCTAAATGGCAAAGTAAAATAATTGCCCTTGACTTTTCAGTAGCTTTTCAGTAGCCAGTTTTCCTCAGCCTCCTCTGGAGGTCTTGGGCAGCATGACTTGAAAGGGAGTCCTGTTCTTCTCCAGTGTCTACAGAGGTGTAGGCTTTTAAATTAGGTTCCTAAATTTAGGTGGGAATGATGCTTTAAATGCAGAGCCAGGTCCTGTTAAAATACTTCTCTGGTTGGAGCAAATTGTTGCCCTCACCAAACTGCTCCTGGGCTGGTTGGCTTCTGTTCCTAATGCTGTTGTCATTCAAAGGTTGGTGAAAAACCTAAACAGAAGAAAAGAAGGCTGGATTCCTGTCCACAGTCTTCAGATTGTAGTCGGTGACTGCAGATTTCGGAATGCCAAAGTTGCAGGTATTTGATAGCACGCCTAGCAGCAATATTTCATATCCCAAATCAGGTCTTTTAAGCCATTTGCATTACACTTGATGTACTAAATCTGGCTGCATATGCCTCTGCTGGAAAGATAGGAAAGCAAGCAGCTATTCCAAAAAGCCTGCAAAAGTAGCAAACTAAGCTTTTTTGTTTGTTTAACACGTTAAGACGTTTCTGAGACTTTAGGCACTAGTAAATTAAAACCAAGCATTTAAAAACGTAGATTTCATTGCAAGAGCGCTGGGTAGAAGACCGGGGAGAAGAGATGGAGTCTGACCAGGGATTCCCAGACTGTTTTCCTCCTCCCTGCTGTAGCCCAAACCCCGTGAGAACAGGAGGCTCTAAGCAAAACCTCCTCCTGCTGCACAAGACATCGTGGCCTGACCCCAGCGCTCACAGGCAATACTTCCTCCCTGCTGCCTCACTCCTGCCCTCACTGCTGCCTGCTGGTCAATCCATCCTTAGATAAATCTGTTTGAAACAGGTGACCGGGTTTCAGCCAAAGGCTTGGATTTCCAAACCCAGAGTTCTCATTTTCTAGCTGGAACTGTACATAGAAATAGGGAAGCATAAGAGATGACACAAGAAAATGCCTTAAGAGCAGCCTGTTGCCCTTGCTGTGTCCACAGTGTCACTGCTGCATGTGTTGCCTCATCACCATGCTGTCCTCTGCAAATGGGAGACCAGGGCTGGAGATGGAACAGCTCAGGAAGCCCACGTAGACTTAGTCTATTAAAAAGAAATTAAAAATCACTAGCTATAACTGTATGAAGCAAATCTCGAAAGGAGTTTTCTCTTTAAATACTTCTTTCTGTCAGAATATTTTTTTATGAACGTGAAGGAAGCCATCTGAAAGGCTTAAAATTCCAGTCAGCTCTTGGTGGTTTTTGGTATATTGCAGTGAAGTCCTTCCTATGCAGGAAGGTATTTTTTATCCCCTTGGTTGCAGGGCAGGCAGATCTCACATACTGAAGGTTTGCTATTTTCTGTAAGGGGTAGTTTGACCAGTGCTCAGAGTTTGCTGGCAGCCTGTTTTCAAGATGCAGTTATGGCTCCCTTGACCTCTCCATGTATAGCTGCCCCATCTCACCAGAAGGGTTTTCCAGCTCTGAATGCATCTCAAAAAAAGCTGCTGGGAAACTTTGAACCCTGGTTTGCACTGTCAGTGGTCAAATCCCCAAAAACCTAGAGGCTGTCAGCTCTGGACTGGTTTATGAAGTTGCCGAGCTCCAGCTGAGGGAATTGCACGGGATGAAGGCACAGAAAATGCCTCCTGTGAGTCCCCAGCACTGCCCAGGCACTCCAGAGCCGTGTCCCAGGCTCTGGGAGCGCTGGGGCTCTGGTTTCCCTGCCAAGGTAACTGTTCTCTCTGCTGTTTCTGACGCTGCCTGCAGTCCCAAGGCACAGTTCTAATCCTGCACACGCTCCAGGAAGCCCTGGGGATGATGCAGGATGTTCTCTTGCTATTTCCTAGAGCTATTCCTGCAGCTCAGCAGCATGTCCTCACAGCCATGAGCAGCTTGCAGTCTGAAAATTGATTTTCACACGGCACTTCTGCACTCAGAATTCCCTTACCCCGGGGGTGGTGACTTCACCCTGCCGGTGACCACGGACTCCTTGGCAGTGGCTGGGCTGGGCTCTCTCCTCTTCCTCAGAAGATGGAGCTCTTGCTCCAGCACAGCCAGGGAGGCTTGGGCAGCCAGGCAGGGGCAGGAGGGAGCCTCGGGTCCCTCGGGGACTCAGAGCTGCTGGTGCTGAGTGCTCTTTGCATGCCAGCAGGGTAAACTTGGCCAGCACCTTGTGGGGTCCCCGAGGGCTTGGAGAGGCTTGGAGTCACTTCAGTGCTGGGGAGAGGCAGTGCTGGCATTCTGTGGGGGCAATGCCTGTCCTGCTGCTCAGCTCCAGCTTCCCCTAATTAAAGCTCTGTGTCCAGTCACACAATTCATAGCAGAATCCACACAATTCTGGGCTTTGGGATTTTTTTTTCAGGGCAAAGCCTTTAGCTGAATAGAATCAATCCCTTACTTTCCCATTGCTCCTTAGATTTATCCTGTGGCCCAGCACAGGATGGCTGATGCCTGCATGTCTACAAGCTGTTCCTCTCCCCTCCTGCTAATTATTCCAGTGTTGAGCCATTACAGATCATAATGAAGTTATAGGGGAGTCTTTGCTGTCCTTTTTGAAGTTAGCAGAGGGGTGTTTGGTAAATGCTTCACTTCCCAGCCATTCCAGCTTTGCAAATCCATGGTCCTCTCGTAAATCTTGGCCTGGATATAAGTCATGAGGTTCTCTGGGAGGAAGGTGGCTGGCTTGGAGATCATTTTGAAAATGAATTTTCCTTCTGGTGTGCCTCTAGCTGTAGGTTCTGAGATTAGTCCTTGCTGCTTTCTTGCAGACAGATTTATTCTCTCTGCTGTGCAAACCCATGTTGGATTTTTTAATGTGCATGATGAAGGAGCAGTTTTGTATTGCAGGCAGTAACGTGCAGAGCTCAAAATGGGAAATATTTGGAGAGAACTGTGCTGAGAAAGGGCAATACTCAGAATGCAGCTCCTGCTTGAGGCTCACCCATGTGCTGGTGGTTTCAGCTGCCTTGCAAGTGGTCAGGCATTGCCTGATTAGCTGACTTGGCTTCTCCATGAGCTAACACAGAGATGCCCTGCCCCTCATGCTGCAATGGCTGCAGCAAGGCTGGTGTGTCTGTGCAGGTCCCTTAGAGGCACTGCTGGTTTCTTCTGGCCTTTGGAGCACAAGGCAGGGTCTCTCCTATGCCCTGCAGTGCCAGCCAGCTTCCCAGAACAGCTTTTTAGTATAAAACTGAATAGCCACAAAACCATCCCCAGCCTGACAGGAGAAGGAGCCTAGAGAAGGTATCAGCTGGCCTGGCTGGATGATGAAGTGGTAGATGATGGAAATGTCACACCCTGTGGTCCTGCCTTAGTCAAGGCTCTCACTGAAGGCAGTGGGAGTTCATCTTTTAGGGAGGGATGCAGGAGTGCATTTATTTTTTTTCTGTCCTACAAATGTTACATGATTACAGGGAACAATGTATTTCTTGGAATAAAATGCTTTAATATTAACATCATTCTCCATTACTTTATAGATGCTGCCCTGTGTAACACGAGAAAGTTTAGTTCCCCTTGAATTAAGGGTGAACTAGCAGCATCCTATTTTCGATGCTCTTTGGAAGCTTTCAACTCAGTGTTACAGAGAACTAGCACAGTAGTTGGAGCTGTCCTGTACTATTCATCACATTCACAGACCTCCCCAGCTTCATCTGCACTGAGTGGGACCGGGGTCCTAAGCAGCTTCTCATGCTCATAAAGGAGGCCATTCTCTGCCCTTTGTTTCTTTTCGCCTGTGGAAATTCTGGTATTTTGTTAATTTTTCCTGCTGTTTTTCCATGACATACATCATGTTTCATCAGAGAAGTCCACTGCAGTTTCCTGACACTTCGTTTAGATGCTTGAATTTTCTTCTACAGGTTGAAGTAGGTTTTGCCTACTTATTAGCTGACAACTGTTGAAGTTGCAAACAAGAGTTGAGTTTTGGTAAACCAAAAAGAAAAACAAAACCAAACAAAGAAGCTGTATGTCCTGCTTCATTGATTTTATGGGTGGGTTTTTCTTAAATATCTGCTTCAGCTATGTGAATGTAATGTTCTGTAAGAGCATCATCTGGCTGACTCCCATGTGAGGAAGCAATAACACTAAAGATCCTCTTTTTGCACTTAGGGTCTGACTCCAGCCCATTGCAGTCAGCCTCCCTGATTTCAGCCAGGTCTGGATCAGGTCAAACTGACACCTCAGGGTTGTCACCAAGCACTTAGGGTCCCAAAGTGTCCCAGGGCTGAAACCTGTATCTAGCAAGTGTTGAAGTTTACATTAATGTATGTACTTTGGAACACGTGCCATAAATCCAAGCTAAATGTCCATGTTTGCACTAAGGATGTTCTTGTGATAAGACTTTTTCAGCATCTTTAACAATAACGTACCTATTGAATTTTTGAGAAGGGAAAAAGAATGTTGAAGACTCATCGTTTAATTTTGTGTTTCTTTGTCTAGATTTGCTTTTGTAGAGCATAGGTAGGTACAGGTGGTTTGAATTTTAAGCAGATGTGTGCAAAGAGCACCTGAGTGTGTGGAGAGCAGGGTCAGTGGTGTGCATGCAGAATGCATCTGCTCTGCCACAGCCCAATGAAATGTTTACACCACGGACTAAAGGGGGCCCTTTATGATCTGATTTTCTTTGTGAGCCCCAGGCCCAGCTCAGCCGTGCTGGCTTTGGTGTGGGGAATTGCTGAGCTGCTGCTCGGGGCTCCTGGGGCTCCCCAGGATGGGGTGACCCTGTGCACCCCCAGGGCCAAATCTGAGCTGAGCAGCACCAGGACCCAGCACACCCCGGGCACTGGGATCACAGTGCACAGCTGCTAAACCCCTGAAGGTTCTTTTCCTCTACTTTCCAATCAGTCGATGCACTAATTAGGTGGGAAAGGCTTAAGTTACTGCTGGGGCTCTTTACAGTGCTAACTATTCTTGTGGTAACAATTCACATTTTGAGGTACTACTGTAAATATTTGTCTGAAACATAGCACACATTGCATATTGAATGATTTTAATCTTTTTGTCTTCCATAATTTTAAATCTAAGCTTTTATTAATTTATGAGGTTGATAAGTTCTGCAAATCTGAATGTACAGTCTGAGGTTTTTAACATTTGAAACTTTGCACACATGGTATGTTCCCCCGAGTATGCTGTTGAACTAGGCTCTTCATGTGTATGTATAAATTACAGTGGAGACTTTTCTCTGACTGCAAGTTTAAATGAACTATATTGTATATGTACCTGTAAAAATGTGTCAAATCTATATTTAAAGATTAAAAACTTGTTAAATAAATCCATCTGAGACTATGCAATTCTGTTCAAAGACACATCTGCTGTAATTCTAGAGGGAAAAAAGTGCTCACAGTGTTGGTTTTACTTAATTTCCTTGGAACAACTTAAAACCTTCTTACACACATTTTGATTTTAAGGTAAGCGGTGGCAGATGATCCAAGTAGTTTCTTGCTGGATGCAGTGGCAATGAAAGTGACACCTTAGCACTTAGACTGAAATCTGAATGAGCAGCTGCTGACACCCTGCCCTGGCTCAGGGTGTCCCCAATGTGCCCTGCCTCCATCCCAGCAGGGTCAGGGTGTCCCCAGAGTGCCCTGTACCCATCCCAGCACAGCTCAGAGTTTCCCCAGTGTGCCCTGTACCCATCCCAGCAGGGTCAGGGTGTCCCCAGTGTCTCCTGCCTCCATCCCAGCAGGGTCAGGGTGTCCCCAGGGTGCCCTGTACCCATCCCAGCAGGGTCAGAGTGTCCCCAGCCTCCCCTCCATGTGAAAACAGCTGTTTGGGGGCACTGGGGGTGCACTGCTGGGCGTGTTCACCTCCCTCGTGGGCTCCTGCTCCTGGAATGCTGCTGGGGCACCAGTGCCTGCTGGGCTTCCCTTGCCCACACTGCTGTGTGCTAACTGTGGGCAATGCTGGTGGCACACCGGCCTGGGACATGTGTGAACCATTCCCCTGCTGATCCACCAAGCTCTGCATTTGGGATCTGGGGCCTTACACCACCACAGCAGCACCAGTGCATTCAGAAATGCAGCTGTGGGTCATTAAAAGGGCTTTTTATTTCCTTATTACCACATTTGCATTGCATTCTCTTTACTTCTGCCTTCCAAGAGCAAAAGCTATTTCATTTAGGAATGTTTATTGAAATGCAATGATCTCTCAAAGGCACAGGGATTGCCGTGGTCCCCTCCGTGTCCCCAGTCCGTCCTCCAGCCTGGCACAGCAGCGTGGCACGGCGCTGCCTGGGCTCAGGGGAGCCTCGTGGTTTGCTTGATCCACTTGAGGTACTTGGAGACCCTGGTGTAGATGCCGTACTTGCCTGGCAGGGCGCACTCCTCGCCCCAGCTGGTGATCCCCGTCAGGAACCAGGTGCCCTCGATCTCGGAGGCGTAGGGCCCGCCGCTGTCCCCCTCGCAGGTGTCCCTGCCCCCGGACGGGAAGCCCGCGCAGAACATGTTCTGCAGGATGCTGGTGGAGGTGCTCTTCAGGCAGGTGGGCCGGTCCACGAAGGGCACCCTGAGCACCTGCAGGGTGGTGGCCTGGCGGCCGCGGAACAGCACCTTGCCCCAGCCGCTGACCGTGCCCACGCCTTGCTTCAGCAGCGCGTTGGTGAACTCGCGGCTGCCCAGGCAGATGGGGGTGACGTAGGGGTTGAAGGTCAGGGGCTGCTCCAGCTCCAGCAGGGCGATGTCGTTGTGGTACTCGTTGATGGAGGCGTTGTACGTGGGGTGGGGCAGCAGCCTCACCACCCTGCGCAGCTGCTCCGTGTGGTCGTCGCTCCTGGTGTCGTGTTCACCTGCACACACCGGCGGCCTGGCTGGGACCGTGCCCAGCACCGTGCCAGCCCAGCCCAGAGGCTGCAGAGGGCTGAGCCCTCGGGGCCCTCGGACTGCTCTGGCCAGGCTACTGGCTCCTCTCAGAGGCAGCTCCAGGTTCCCTTGCCTCCCAGGCCCCAGCACAACCCAGGTGTGACACCAGGCACCACCAAAAGCATCAGGCACCAAAGATGCAGATGCTTCTGCCAGAGTTAGCAGCAAAGCGGCTTTTGGGGGTTCAGCACCCTCACAGAGAGGTAAGGGGATGTCACCCTTGCAGCAAAAGTGGCAGAACTCGCTGATGAAAAATACAGATTTAAATAAATCATGTATTAGTAAAAAATAACCTCAATCTGTCCTTTCTAAACCCACCGGCTGCCGCCCGTGCCCGCTGCCGCCCGTCACCGCTGGCACTGCCCAGTGCCCATCCCTGCCCCGCTGCCCAGGACCCACCTGCCACAGCAGTGATGTTGTGGGTGTAGCCCGGCTTCAGGCAGTGAGCTGCTGTCACCAGCCACTTCTCGTTGATGATGGATGCGCCGCAGAAGCCGAAGCCTTCGCTGTTCACCAGCAGAACCTGTGGGAGCAGGGGCAAATCACTCTGGGCTTGTGTAAGCCCGGAGCAGTGGAAGGCGGCCCTGGTCACAGCAGGGGGTTGGAACCAGGTGTCTTTAAGGTTCCTTCCAACACAAACTGTTGGATGATTCTATGATCTGCTGAAACTGCTGGTGACAAAAAATGAGTTGCATCTCTCCTTGCAAAACTCCCTTCCCTCCGCCTTCAGCTTACTTTTGGGATGTTTATGGACTACGGGGCAATCTGCTGCTGTAGCCCAACCCTTTGTGCCCCACCAGGTAAAGCTGCTGTGACTGGTTCTGGCTCTTTGCCAGAGGAGAGCCCCATGCAGGCAAGTTTGCTTGCTGTGGTGTAAAATTGTATATGGAAAGAAGCTGTGCTCCTGCTAGGCTAGAGACTAGTGCCAGTCTAAGCTCTGAGCCAGGCTTTGGGAATTCAAAAGTAAGATGATCTGTACTCAGAAGGGACTGCTGGGGTTACAGGCTTGCAGACAGAGCTGGTACCTGCCAGGGCACCTCTCCCTTCATGCTGTCCGACCCGCCGACAACGCGTGTGCCCGTCCTGAGCACGGGTGTGATCCTGCTGGGGGCAGGGGTGCTGCTTTCCGTGGCGTTGTCCTCCCCAGGGCCATCCTCAGGGTCATCTCCCGTGATGTTCCAGTGCTCAAAGGTGTTCATGGACCGGGTGAGCTTCCTCTTGGCCTCGGGAGCCGTGATCCTCCCGCAGGGGTACGGCACTGGGGGAGGAACAGCACGGCTGGGACCGGCTGTGTCACTCACAGCCACCTCAGCGGGGCGAGGAGGGAAACCCTGCTCACCTGGGCACAGCCTGGGACCAGCTCAGGCTGGGGCTGCCCAGTGTTCCCTGTGCCCTGGGGCCGCAGTGTGAGCCGTACGGACAAGGAGCAAAAGCACCGATTCTTTCTGGGCCTTGGAAACGTCATCTGAACAGCTTTACAAGTGAAAGAAGCTTGTGCTGAGCACGTGTGCCTGATGGGCTGGGGCAGCTGTGCCTGCTCGTGGCAGGATGTGTGCTGCATAGCTGGGAATCCTGCACTGGGCATTTCACAGCAGTGACTCCACAGCAATAAGCAGCCAGCTGGGAGAGGGCAGGAAATAACAGCTGCCAATTGTACAGATAATCCTGCTTGGCACCAGGTGAGGAAAACATTAATAACCTCTTCCTAGAGCTGTGTATTGTCTCTGCTAATGAAGAACTCATCTGTAGACTCGTTTCAGACAAGCTCTTCCCAATCCTCTCCCACGCGGTGTGTACAGAATTCCTGCTGGTGGTGGCAGTCAAAATAGTAAATAGCACCAGGCATTGTCTTTCATCTGAAAAGCTCTCAGAAGCGCTGAGCAAACAAACGCTAGTGTAAAATCAGATGTGAGTGTGGCCTATTGAGACTTCATCCTCTATTTTTAAACAGTTCACTTTAGGGACAGGACTTGGATGAGTGTTGAGTGATGGAAAGTGGTAGCTGTGAGCTTAGCCTATGAAGTGAAGGTTTCAGAGCCAACAAAAGGAAGCTTTTGCAGGAAGGACAAACACCCAACCTGAAAGACAATCTTCTTGTTAACTGTAAACCTTTCTGGCCCAGTGAAAGTGGTGCAGCATGTGGGGCAACACAGGCCTGAGCTCTTGAGATCCTCTGTTGACAGGATTCCTGACCCAGGATACTCCCCAGAGTGCTGACAGGCAGCAGAGTCAGGCAGTCAGTGTTCCCTGCTGCAGCTGGCACAGCTACCCTGTGCAGGTACCTGCAGGTGTAGTGGGTGTGTAATCCCACTGCAGTCAGGTGTTGGAAATGTGACAATATCAAATGTTCAGCTGAATTCAGATGACAGAATATTTATCTGCTCACTCTCTTCTCTGCCAGATGTGCTTCTGAGATGCTCACAGCCAGTTAATTTTCTGTGTTGTGGTGGGTCAGTGTAGTTACAGGTGGTCTAGGGCGGGGCAAAGCTGGGGAGCACAAGGAGAACCAGCTGTTCTTTAGTCCTTTGTGAAGCTGCAGCCTCAAGAGCTGCATTTTCCTTCCATCCCACCCAACAGCTAAGCCAGAGTCCAGCTCTCATTGAGGATCTCTGCAGACCCACCCTGCTGGGGGGACAGCACCAGCACAAAGCTTCACTTGTAACCACCCAACTTGGATTACAAGACACTGGGTCATGGCCAGCCATGAAATAAACCATCAGGAGGGTTTACAGTAATCAAAATCTGCTTTAGTTCTGGGAAGTTCAGAGCCTCCTCAGTGCAGAATCAGTAACTATTAGCTCACACTGGGAGAACAGGGGAGCGAGCCTGGCTGGGTGCTGGGCAGCTGAACATCACCCTCCTTCCTTCAGAACATTTCTGATCCGTGTCCAGAGCTGTCAGATGCTGGAGCCTGTCTGAGCAGCCATCTGAGACAGCACTTGCCTTTGAACAAATTCCTGTACAAGTGCTCTCCATCTCCACTCACCCAGCTTAAAAAATGGATGTTTTAAAGGATGATTGAACCCTTCCAGCCAGACCCCACATCTCCCATGGGGAAAGTGCAGGGTCGGGCTGTACCTTTGCTAAGTAGGAAAACAAGCAACAAGGTTTCCAACAGGACATTGCATCTGTGAAATTCATGTAATTAAATGCAGGACAAGGCCTTGAAAACTTGAACCCAAATCTCTTAAAAACAATTTAAAAATTAACCTGTAGGTTCACAGGACTTTCCATCTTCATGCAGTTTATAGCCAGCAGCACAGGAGCACACAACCTTCTGTGGGGGCTGATGGCTGCAAAAGTGCTTGCAGCCTCCGTTTTTAATAGCACACGTGAAGTCTGAAAGAAATTAAAATGAAACTGTGAGAGCTCTTCTGAAACACAGCTGGTCAGAGATTTGTTGAGGCCTGGGGGTTTGG